GCCTCTTGGCAATGACAGAGCAACAACAGCCCCATATGAAAGAAGTGCCAGTATCTGAGATACAGATGGTCTCAAGGAATGAGAAAATCAGATACTTCTAATTACTATGAAGTCTATGTTAGTGAAATTCAAATGGAGGTTGATCCCACCTCATTTAAAGCGCTCAATCAAGCTTTGAGAAGTGTATGTTTGTCTAAATGACAAGAGAATATATGAGATGAAATAAGATTTGTGAATCCCAACGATGTTTGGGACTCATAAGTAATTTCCAATGGAGCATAAACAGTAGGCTGTAAAGGGTCTACAAGGTCAATGTGACTCCAAAGGAAATATGTAAAGGTGTAAAACACGACTTAAATCGAAAGGTTTTTGCGCGTTTTGCACTGAATAAATTACAATGAGTGTTGGTAGCACATCATGATCTGAGTTATATCAGATGAAAGTAAAGAACACAGGGGATACTGCCTGAAGAAGTCTTTTATGGACTAAAGCAATCAAATGTTGTTTTGGGTTAAAGAAAATGATAGGACAATTGTATTCGTGCAAAGTTATAGAATGGGAAATTCATTTCCTAATCCTGTGCATGTGGATGACATCCTACTTGCTAGTGATGATGTCAACCTACTGCAGGAGGAGAAAAGAAGTTCTTGTCCTCAAAGTTCAAAAGAATGTTCTCGGTAGAGTGTCTCTCGTTATAAGTATCGAGATTCACGAAGAAAAGAATAAAAGGGGGTATTAGGGATGTCGAATGGACATGCTAAGAAAGGTCTCTAAAGTATGCATGCGAGAAAACCTACGCCTGTTCTTATAGTCAAGGGTAATGGAACTGGAAACTATGGTGTTCCAGAAGTTGATGAGAAAAGATTGAAAACGGATATGGTACCATATGCTTGAGTTGTTGGAAGCTCAATATATTGCCTTGACACAGTTCACATATTCGGGTTGTTTTGGCAATGTCCAGTCCATATATAGATCACTGGAATGGAGTCAAAGATATCGGCCTCATGCTGAAAGAAATAAGTGCTCTCGAAATATTGTGAGTACAAAGACATGACTTGTGAAATGTATAGCGAAATCCACAATTATCGCTAACTTTCACACTTGGAGTTTTGATGTGGAAAAGCTCCAAAGAATGAAACAATTATCATCAATGTGATGCAAAGATATGTTTTGGCTTGATATGAGGCCAAGGGACAGGCAAAATGGTTATGAAGACCTGTACCCGGAGTTGATAATGGTTGACAACAGTCATAACTATTTTAAGTCTTTCGCTCCTAATGACAACGAGTCAAGTGTTGATGCCAAACACACTAACACAGAGTTATGAAGATCTGCTTATTAAAGGCTTATTGCCCAGTGTGTTGGGTTTTATGGTATAGTCTAAAATTTCCAGACAATAAAAAGGCCCAAGGTTAAAGAATTTGTTTCAAAACAAAGAGGTACGTTGTGGCTGTCTGATTCTATCGGCAATTGAGCTGTGACGATGAAACATGTTCTACGTATTGATCTGTTATGAAACGAGTAAAGTAAATGTATACGGTCAAAAGTAAAAGTTGAGATCAAGGGGAAGAATGTTAGGATGATCTCCATCATGTGGACCCAACGGCCCACCGGGCCCTTAGATCCACGCCCTGATCGGGGCGCTCAACCCACTATGGATGACGGGCCCCTGTCACCTGCACTATATAAAGAGATGGGGGCCGGCGGCTCGCACCACGAGGTTCGTCGCATAGCCGTACACCCCCCCTAATCCCCTACCGATCTAGGGTTAGTGCAGTGCTGATGGGAAGCTCCGCCACCACTACTCTCTGCCACCGCCGCCGCCATCCACCATGGCCGGCAACTGGAGCTCCTCAAGCCACGAGGGAAGGTAGGTTCACCGGATTAATCTACCCTACCCGATCCAAAGATCTATCAACCTCCAGCTCTACGACCACAACAGAAAGAAGCGTCAGCTGCAAGCGCAGTACAAGCTGAGCATCCTCGACCACGCCGGCAACGTCGCGTACGGGCTCCCCGCGAAGACGAGCGTCTTCAAGAGCAGCGGTGACAAGGACGACGACGACTCCGACGACGACGACGAGGAGGAACCCCAGTTATGCGGTCACGAGCAGTTCATCCGTCGGGAAGACCTGGAGAAGCGCCAGGACCTGCTCAAGGACGACTGCGTGGTGTTCCGCTGCGACGTCGGCGGCTTCACCGAGTTGGAGACCACATACCTCGCTCGCGAGGAGAGCGAAAGCGAGCTAGTTCTGGACGATGATGTGTTCGGGTTGAAGCCATCCCGTTACCGCTCCGGTGACTACCGTCACCGCCGTCTTCGTCGCGCTGATGACAATGAGCTCGTCCAGTGGTGTTTGGCCCAGAAACGCATCGGGTGATGAGACGCCGGCCATTGATTATTGAAGCGTGCAAGGAGTGCAGGACGGTCTAGAATAAAATCTACTAATTAAGTTTTATTTTTATCGATGCATCCAATGGTTGCCTTGCTAGGAATAATTAAGGAGTGGCATTTTGATGTCCCTCAAGAAAATAAAAGGATGTCATTTCAATGAATAAATTTGTCTCTCTTTCAATATGATCTCTCTTGGATTATGATTTAACTGTTTGCTGTCCCAGTATTAAGATTCCCTTAAGATCAAAACATAAAAAGCAAAGGAAAAAAGAAAAGAAAATACCCACATGAATCTCCACCTAAAATCAATGAGATTGGACTTAGATATGCAATACTTATGGCATATCTAGATATGCAATAACTCAGGGTTTGCTGATTTGTACCAACCCAGTTTGCTAATTAGTTATGTCCGTCCGGTGGCATGACATGTTTACCGTGAAGGTTGGGCGGAATCTTACTTGAGTTAGGTTATTATCCGTTTGTGTGCTATGCATTTACGGCCCAAACCAACCAAACACATTTAAGGGAATCATGTTACGGTGTAATTGAATAACGGGATTGTGCTTTTCTAACTATGATGAGGATGTTGTTGTTCATTCTGATTATTCGCTCGGCTATGTTTTTTACATTATGTCATCTACGTACATTCATTTTTTTACTTGTAAAAGCCTTCTAATGTAAGGTGCAAAATATGTATTTGTCTAGGAAGAATGGAATCTGAAAGCCAAGGATCTGGTGCACCCATTATGTTGAATGTGTATGTCACATAGTTACCTGATTCGCAATTTGAGTTCACATATCGAATTTGCTACATTCTATGACTCGGGTTCGATAGGCGGTATACATCTCCGATTTGCGTATCGGGGGTCCGGTTCGTGAACTTGCTATCTTTGGTTCGAAATAGCTTACCGTTCGCATTCAAAAATAGCCATCGAAGTTCCTAGATAGATATAATAAATAAATATAGGGATAATATGTTGGTTGGTCCAGCCCAAACGAACCCACTAGGCCACGACCTGCTGCTCCTCCGCTGCTTCCGATAGCCTCCTCCAAAATGTAATCTAGCACGGCTGCCTCGTGCGCTTTAGCACTTCCTCGTTCTTTCTCCTGCTCAATTTTTCCCTCATTTCAGCCATTGAAAAAGCCTTGATTAGGTTGATATTGGTAGGAGGTCTCACTTTCCAACTGTTGACATGTTGAAACTCAGTGGCTCCAGCGTTGGTAGAAAACTGAATCTTTCTACTAGGCATTCCAAAAAGAACCAGCCCTAGTATCTTTTCCCACATTTCTCATCTTCTTGCAAGATGCGGCACTATCTGCTGCAAGCTTGCATATTTGATTGTTTTTGCAGAGGATTGTGGAAAGTGCATTACACACGTGTAAACTTGCAGTACACAATAGTCCATAATGTACATTACACATAGGCGTAAATTACTTTGGACAATAGTACAAAATGAAATAAACATAAGTGTAAAATGCAATGGAGAATATTCATAGAGATATATCCAACAGAGTTCTAGTTTTGAAGATTAATTTGGACCCTTTATCTGAGAGTTGGTGCTTTTAAAATATTCAAAACAGGGTATGATAAGGCTGCAAGATATCTGTGGCACTCAAAAACTTGGGGGAAAAAAGATTGCAAGAGAGTCTGCAAGAGAGATTGCAAGAGTTTGAATCGATGAATAAAAAAAAGGACAGCTATCCTAGCATAGCATCTGGGTGGATGGCCAGAGAGAAGCGTGTGAACCATAGAAAATGTTCTGCCTCAAGCACTGAATGGGGTTGGAAGCCGCCCTATTGCAACGCCATTGTTGCTCCTCTCACGGCACATTGCATGTGGCATAGAGGGGGATCGAGATACGGCGGCCTTCAGCGCCACCACCGTTGGTGTATGAAGGGTGTCAGTGGCTGCCGCTGCTATTCAAGCGACGCTGCCGCTGTTGGTCCCATCCCGAGTTATGAAGTTGACAGGGAGGGGGGATGGGGGCCTCGATCGCTATCAACAATACAGAATGGGCGCTATGGAGAAGATGTGGCGGGCGGATCGGTAGAGAAGATAGGGTGAGCGGATTTGGTGGTGCCCATTATGGGTTTGTATCCGAATTTAGACAGGTGTATGATACACAGAGCCAAACCCGACACAGATCCGATAAATCCAACACCGCACTCTAGTGTTGTAGCACGACAGCATTTCGCTGATTTCGACGGTCATCGCTATTTGCCATAGTCCGCTATTTCAATTACTGGTATTTCCGTAAGATCGCCACATCCTTGGCCGCTTTTTACCACCTCCTTCACCCAATCACCTCCTTTGGTGGGAATAGTGGAGTTCTTCCGGGATGTTACACTCGTAAAATGATCGTCGAAACAATACCAGTGAAGCTAATTAACTGAACTGAAATGGTGAAATGTACCGACCACATGATGGAGGAACAACGAAATTACCACATCTTTCTCATCTGATCTACTCCTATTAAGTGCAGTAATTATTTTATCATCACGACGTAACTGCTATACTAGTGCAACAAGGCTAATTAACAAGCTACTGGTCGATGAACGAGGATAAAAACAGGGGGCGGCCGGCGGCACCGGCGAAGCAGAGCGATCAGGTGGGGGGCGGCGCGTGGCTGCCGTTGCCGCGGGGGCCGCCCAGGAGCGCGGCGAGGAGGACGGCGTCCATGGCGGCCACGGAGAAGACCGTCGCGGCGAGGACCCCGACGCGCAGCTTCCTCCAGAAGGCCGCGCGGCGCGTGCGGAGGGGGTCGAGCTCGGCGGCGGCGGCCTCGGCGAGCGCGGTCAGGAGGCATCTCGAGCGCGCGCTCAGGCCCCGGGCACCCCGCAGCTCCGCCAGGACCAGCTCCATCTCCGTGAGGACGGTGGCGGTGGCGTCGGGGTCGGCGGGACGTGCGACCTGCAAGACGACGATGAGGAATTCGAATCTCAGGAAACAAGTTGCACAAACGAGTCCAACTGAAATTCAGATTAATTAGACTTGAGGACCGACGAACCCCACGAGCCCGAGAGCGCTCGAGATCAGACGAATCGGAGCCCAAAATCGCGGCGCGGACTGAATTTCAACCAGCAGTGAGCCGGAATCGGCCGGGGAGCAGGCGAGGCGCACGCACCTGGGTGAGGGCGGGGGCGGGGATCGCGTCGTGGGGAGGGACGGAGACGACGGTGGAGGAGGAGGCGTCGTCGTCGGGGTCGGGGAGGTCGAGCGGCGGCGCGAGGTCGGCGACGGCGAGGCCCTCGGGCAGCGCGGGGTCCGGCTGCTGCTGCGCGGCGGAGGCGGCGTCGTCGTCGTCGTAGGTGAGGAGCTTGCCGGCCTCCTGGAGAGCAGCGGGAAGAAGGTCATCGATCAGGCGCGCGGCGCGGGTGATTGAGGGGAGGCGGTGGTGCAGGAGGTTAGGTTACCTTGGCGAGGTCGCGGGCGGGGGGCGCGGACGAGGAGGAGCCCACGGAGCTGCGGTTGGCGGGGGTGGTGGCGGTGACGGCCTTGGCGCCGGAGGAGGAGCGGGGGCGCGGGGTGTGGACGGCGCCGCCGTGAGGCTTGGCCATGGTGATGGTTGTCTCGGAATGGAGCGGTGGGTATTAGAACCTGGGCTCGTCTCTCTCAACTGGACTGTTGGGTTCGACCCGGGTCGGGTGCGGGTATTTATCGGCCCCACGTGTCAGTCACACTTGCTTGCTTTGGCATTGGCAAGGAAATACATGGCCTCTTTGATTCGTACGATTGAATCATGTAGGATTTTTTTTCCTGTATAAGATTCATTGCGGTATACTCCCTCCATTCCGAATTACTTGTCGCAGGTAGTTCTAGATACATCCATTTCTCCGACGAGTAATTTGAAACGGAGGGAGTAGTTCTTACTCAAATTCGAATAAAATTCAGCTACATTTCATCAAAAAATATCACCAAAATTTAAGTTACACAAGACGCTCTCATTAGCATAAATTTCAAGTTACATGACTTACATGTCTGCCATATGGACGATTATGTCATTAAATTTGTATACAAAATACTTTTTCAATAGTATAAACTTGGAAGTTACGCGACTTACATAATACCAAGAATTAAGCTTTGAAATTGTGCTGTTAACCAACAAAATACTATGTATTGTGTATGATTTAAGTTATACCTTTAACTCAAATACTATTTGTCTAGCTAATGATTGAAGCTAAATCCCAAATTTTGTACACATCTTATTCACTGGAATTGTCACAAAGGGGCACGGACACGAGAAGCAACAATAGTAGTAAAAAAATTCCCACCATTTTGCAGATACTAGCACTAAAGCTAGGTTGAACAAGATAAAACGAGCCTTCCAATTTCCCAAAACAAGCAGAGCAGATGAGATCATCCTAGCAACAACCTCTGCGTCCCCAAAACAGGTAGCGTTTGTTTTTGTGTTATGGAGACTGTCAAATCTGTTGACATAAAGTATATGATGATTCTATTGCGGGCTGGCGGGAAAAAACACGGCTAATTTCGACTAGTTGCTAGCACAACCGGACAGGACGGAATAAATAACAGCAATCATCTTCAAATTTTTCTCAAGCTCACTAAAGCTAGGGAGACAAAACAAATTCTCTCATTCCACCTAACACTCGCAAGGGCGCCTTCCATCTTTCCAGGAGATTGGATTCATCATCACCTCTCCTGACTGGCTGTCACCCTCTGCATGATCATCGCCTCGGCCGCCTGGATGGCCTCTGATGTTCCGGTTATCGTCACTTTCCTGCACCAGTGAGTGGAAATTATAAGCTTCGGTGGCCAAGAGGTGATCACAGAGCGAAGCATGGCGGTGTAATGTTACCTGTCAGATGTGCCAGCTATGAAATCGCCCCTATCTGATATCTTAATCCTGGCACCACTAGCCTGCAGCCGCACAGAATTACATGAGTTTGGTTTCCATGAAATATGGTGCACTCACACCATACAAGGCAGCAGCAGGTTTATGCAGATTTGCCATATAAATCACAAGTATGAAAGAGTAGTATGTTTTCTGAACCCAAATGAGGGCAGACAACATGCTCCAATGTTCCTAACTATTTATCTGCTGCAGGGAAACTACATGACCAAACGAGCACTATTAACAAGATTGCTGCAGGAAAAAATCAATATGCATTACATTATAGAACGGAGGAAGTAATATGATGCAGAAGCCTCTGCTATCTATAGAATGAGCATACATGTTTGACCATGTGCAGTAAAACAACACTAATGAGGTTCAGATTCACACGGTGTAAGAAGATACCTGAATGATCTCTGTTATGTTCCTTCCTGCACGCCCTACAACTGCACCGATGTGTTCGTCAGCAACACCTATGGTGTGTGATTCTTGGGCATCATTATTAGCAGGTGATCTAACAGGTGTACCAGGCTGAAAAGTTTCAACAGAAAACCATGGTTAGAACAATTTGAAAACATATATGAGGTTAACACTACTACCCAAAAAACAAAGCAAAAAAGAAGTTGCTGCCTCAGCATACAGTTTTAGAAAATAATAAAATATATGCATAGAGAATATAGCCTGAAAGCATTAGAAGGCAAGAAAACTGGGCACATTAAATCTAACATCAAGGAGTTAGCGCACACAACATCAATCAGAAGTTCCAGCATGCACATCTCTCTTTCTCCAAAAACAAATGCTTAGTGTAATACACATTTATGCATATCTCTTTCTCCAAAACAAATGCTAGTGTAATACACATTTTATTTCCAGTGCGCTGACTAAGAAAAATAGCGTTCACAAAAAAACTGTCAGGTATCTGGAAGTGTGATATACCGTTTTATTTTTTATGGACTGCCTAATATTAGTAGCGCCAACAAAAGCTATCAGGACATAGCCATAATAAATTCATGAGATCAAATTTTGCCTTCTTGCAGTTCAAAGACTTGGATAGGATAAATGTTCTATGCACTTCCTAATGTATTACATGACTATGCAAAACAGAAAACAATTCTATTAGAAAGCATCTCATACATATCACCTGACTCCAACATCTCTCCTCAGGTGCACAACGAAAAGAGAACACATGGTAGATCATTATCAACACAGATGGACTAGGTGTTTACAAAAAAGGTGTACACCATGCAGGACAGCAAACACGAACCTTGTTGTTTTGGTACCTTCCACCACCACCACCACCACCACCAGCATACCCATTAGGTCCATAGTTCACAGCATTATTATATGGGACCTGTGGAATCATATAGCCAACAGGAACAGCGGCTGGGTAACTAGGGAAACCAAGGCCTGGATATTTTGAAGTGAAGGAAATGAGTAAGAGAGAATGGTTAAGCCGTATCTGAAAAGTGAATCCATCTATAAATATCATGAATGCAAAGAGAATGTCTAGCTGCACATGCAAATATATCCCAGCATTCTCAGTTGTGACTTTTTTTTAAATGGTGTTATGACTTCTTTTTAGAGAAGCATGATAATAAATGCAGAACATGTATTCTTCAAGCAAGAAAGGTACTATGAGAAGGCACCCATTCAAGCAAGCATGAAGCAGAGTGGTAACATTAGAACTAGAAAGTGGTGAAAATTCTAGGATTTACCTGCATATGGAAATGGGGAACTCAAATTAGGTGGGTAGTGAACATCCTCAGACAACTTGCTTAATATCAAATGTATGGCTCGCATCTGACTGTTTAAGGGTCCTGTGATAGTAACAAGCCTATCATGCAAACCAACAAAGTTGTTGTCCTGTGGTGAAATTTTGATTCCAGCATGTGAATCTTCAATGAATGACCTGAAGAGAGAGGGAACACCAACTCTCAATATTCCAGGCAACAGAAACTAAAATAAAATAAATACAAGAACAACGATGAAGCATGTCATAGAAGTCCAATCAGACCAGGCACATGAGTATTATCAAGAGAAGGACCATACAGTTCCTATTATCGTGCATCGGTTCACATATACTTCATCAGTTTTCTTAATAACAATAACATTACACCAACATTGAAAATTAAGAAAGTATCATAGTGGGGGTGAAACTTAATGACAGTATCAGAGATTAGAACAGGTTTATTGATTAGGCATACTTGATTGTTGCTCCTCCTTTACCAATAATTCCACCACATGAGCTGTTAGGAACTACAAGTCTAAATTTAGGCCTGGCTTCAGCTTCATTAGATTCTTCCCCCTGGAAAATAACAGGAGAATATCAGTTATCAAGCAATGGCAGCATGGTCTTACAGACATGACCGTTTGCAAAATAAATTGATTTACCTCAGATAAGAGTTTCTCAAGAACCAACTCCATGGCCTTAACTACTTCGTCAAACAGTCCAGAGACCATGATGATTCTGTCATTTGTACCAGGGAAAAACTCATGGCTGCGCGATAATTGAATACGAGCCCCAGACTGAGATTGGAAGTCATTAATAGTTGAACCACCCTTGCCAATAATACATCCTGCTGCTGTATTAGACACCAGAAACCTCAAATGCGTTGGCTTCTCCTTGTCATCTGAGGAGAAAAAACAACTGCAGATTCAGAATTATATGGAAGAAAGGTGAATGGCAATAGCTATAACCATGCTATTATGAGTTCAATCATATATTTACCAAGGCCAAGGAACAGAAACAACCCATGATGCACAACAAATAACATAGCAATTTTATAGGTTAAAAATGTGATTGCACCTAACGTCCAAAGAACCCGCATTTAATGTATAGGATTTCCATCACAAAAGGATATTTTCCATAACTTTACTGAAGTCCAGAAACAGAAGCAACCGATGATGCACAACAAATAACATAGCAATTGTATAGGTTAGTGATGTGGTTGCACCTAGAGCCCAAAGAACCCGCATGTGAGTTAGAGGGCTTTATGAACAGAAGACATTTTCCATGTTGTAGGTCACCTAAAACAGTTTAGTAGTTCAAAATGCCAAGGACTGGAACAAATTTCACTATGAAACGGAAAGACCAACTCCAGCCACACACCTACTTTGCGTTCTGATACAGCTGACCATTAAATCAAGAATTGTCACACTAGAAAGGTGAATGGCAGTAAGCATCCCACTACGAGTTCCAAGTCGAGAAGTACGTTAATAGTCGTCTACTCATAAATGCTTTGAAGTCAAGCAGAAAGAGCAACTAACGATGCATTGTAATACACATAGCATTTTTTTAGGCAATGTAGTAAATAAACATAGCAATACCACAATGGTGAGGCCCAGCATAATTTAGTAGGTTTTGATTACTACACGTGTTTTCCTGCGTGCACTTCCTAAAACACTAACACTTTCACCGTGCCAACAGCTGGAACAAACTGAACTAGGAAGTGGCGAGCAAAATCATCCGCCCACGAATGTCATGTTTAGAAATAAACCATAATCGCGCATCTGAAACAAACTAAATAAATGTAGCTGTGCACAATCAGGCGCGCTGTAGTAGTGTGTAGTCATGCCGAAGTGTACTAAACTCTACTTACTTGAGACCAGGTAATACCACCGAATCAGCCAACGAACGAACCAGAGCACATTAACCAAACCGCCCACTGAATTACTAAACCATCCCCCCTTGCAGTGCAGTGCTGC